GTACATTTGAGGTTTAAATGATTTTTACAAATTTGGGATTATTAGAAAAACAAAGGAAACTCTGGCGAATTTTCTGTGGAATTGGCAGATTTTAGGCGAACTTCAGGAGAGAATATCTTCCTCCATAAAGGTCCAATAGGGACATGCCATACGCCATTTTTAAGTTTGAGATGTCCTCTACCTTGTGTCAAAATTTGAGGAAATTCTGGGTTGATCTTCGGCCTGAAAAAATAGAGAAACACGGACTGCTCATGTGCCCCTGCACCTGAGGCAGATTCTGGACCGGATTTGGGAAATTAATTCTCGCTTTGTTTCTCAGTCAAATTAAGCGTGTGATATATCAAAATGAAGTTTGAGATGTCTAGTTTGTAGGATTAAAATTTAAGAGCAAATGGTTGAATGGATAGAGTGCAGTAAATCGAGTAAGGTGAGTGCTTTGGAGCTGTTTTTAGGGTTGTTTGGCTATTTGCTGATCCAACTTCAAACAGCGATAACCGGAGCTAATGAGCTCCGAATTGAGCATATGATAGCTTGTTGAAAAGGGAATTAAGTAAGACAAAGATCTAATCTGAGAAGAAGGAAAACATGTCCGAAGTAGTAAAAACGTAAAGTTTGGAAATTGACTAAGTGAGTTTATGGGAACTCCTTAGTAACTTATAATAAGTAATGTGAGTTACAAAATTAGTTTAAATAAGTCTTGCGCAAGAGTTTACGGTTACGGTCAAAGCTTTTAATTATTACGCCTTTTTATGTTTTAAATGCTCGCGTAATAATCGGAAAAAGTTTATTCGCATTTTTATAAATGAACTGCTGTGATTGTAACTGCGCTTAATATCACAATTAATGTTAACAATACCGGTGTACAATGGGATGTTACACAAAGTCCAGGAAATTGGCGCTAGTTGGCACCAGAATGGCGCAAACTAGCGCCACCATGCCAACCAGCGCCAAGTGAAGCAAACTAGCGCCAAGTGGCACCACTTAGCGCCAAACCATGCCAAGTGGCGCCCAAAATACAAGGGGTGGCGCTAACTGGCGCCGGTCCACGTAGAAGCAAGTCCGACTTTTCACAATTGGACAGTAACTCCGCGCGAAGTGGCGCCGTACCGGGGCCATTTGGCGCCGAGTTGCGAGAAATTTACTCTGTGTTTTCGGATGGGTATTTTTGGAAGAAGAAAAAGAGACTTATAAATAGGATCCTTGTGACAGAATTAGGCATTCAGACCTATTCTTCTGAAGAGAGATGACAACAGAGCTCCGAGAGGATTCCAGAGATCAAGTTCTTCTTCTCTTTTCTCTTTAATTTTATGCTTTTGAATATTGGATTATTTTTAGCCATGATTATGCTTGGCTAGTAATTTTTATTGTAGTTAGGGTCACAAACCCTATGTGAACCCTTGTTACGACGGATTGGTTTACTTTTACTCGTTTATATAAAATTGTCTTTATCTCTATCCTGCGCGTATTTTATATTTTCTTTATTAGAATTGATCACTCTAATAGTTGATAATAGTCTGAGGGTTAGCACCCTAGATAGGAATATTGGGGTTTTCATCCTGAAAGGGGGTAGGATAACGGTTCGTATGCATGCTAGGAATAGATGTGTATTGAATTGCGGATGCCTAAATTATAGAGTTCATCGCTTAATTTTCATGAGGGGTTGCTAAGGGATTAGGATTCCAATTGAGATTAAAGGGTTAAATTGCCAAGGGATTGGGATTTAACTAATTATTTTAGATAATAATTTATCCGAGTAATTTTATAAATGAATATTGTAAATCAATCCAAAGTAAGAAGGGGGGATCATAAGGTGAGTGCGCTCTAGCTACAATGTTTTTCTCATATTTTCAAAACCTCAATTCTTTTTATTATTCTTTTTCTCATAAATAAAAATACAAAAACAAATCATTATTTTCAGTTCTCGATTTCACACAAATTGACAATATTTTTCAAAACCATTTGAACTCATCGATTCTTGAAAAGAATTATTAACTGATATTCGACCCAATCCCTGTGGAGACGATACTTTACTTACTATCTATATTACTTGTGCGATCGGTACACTTGCCAGTGAGCATCAGTCCTCAATGATGCCATAAGCTTGTTTTGTAGAGCGGTCAGCCAGTTGCACTATTGTCTTGGTTGGCTTTACTTCAGTGATTGTCATCTTTTTCATCATAGATAGTGGCATCACGTTGATGCTGGCACCGAGATCACATAGAACATTTTCCACTTTCATCTTGCCTATGGTGCATGGAATGCTAAAGTTTCCTGGATCTTTAAGCTTTGGAGGCAACGTTTTCTGGATAATGGCACTGCATTCCTTTGTCAGAGTCACCGTCTCACATTCCTGCAGCTTATGCTTTCTTGATAAAAGATCTTTCATGAACTTAGCATAATTTGGCATGTTCTCCAAGGATTCAACAAACGAGATATTGATTTGCAGCTTCTTGAAAATATCAATGAACCTGGAGTACTGTTGCTTTTGAATTTCTTGTCTGACCCTCTGTGGATATGGAATTCTTGCATAAGGTGAGAGCTATAATGGCTTTTCTTGCTTGTCTTGAGCTTTCTTTTTTTCCCACTTTAATTGTTTACTTTCAACTTTTTCAGGAGTGCCATTTTCAAATTCAATTGTATCCTTTGCTTTTTCTTTCTTATCCTCTTCAACAATAGGTTCCTCATCATTCTTCTTATCTTCAGAATGCTTCTCTATAGTCTGAATGACTTTCCAACTCATATTAGTAATTGTATTGCAGTGTTCCCTTGGGTTGACTATGGTATCACCCGAAAAAAGTGCCTTGAGCTCATTCAGAAATTTGCCTTGACAATTGCCCAATCTGAGTTTCAAGATTTCTGATTGATGCTTCTTGATTCCTGAATACTGTTCGAGTTTCTTGCATAAAGGAAGTTGTTTCATTTCTGAAAGTCTCTGAACCTTGAATGTAGTCATTAGTTGTTTTTGAGAGTTGCATGATAAACCTTTGGTTTACCAAGTTTTTAGGATAAATATTACAAGAATTATGTAGTAGATTGCATGGAATTCAAGGTTTTACAACAAATAAGGCATAAGTTAGGAAAGTAAGCTAAAATTTTGATGTTCTTTTCATCTTGAAGGGTAAAACCACAATTATTAGTCCTAAGAAGTGCATAAGAGATCAGGACAAAGAGTTGAAGCTTAAAATGGGCCAAAGGAGCACACTCGAGCGCATAGAATGGACGCTCAAGCGCGTGCAAGCAGGGAAAACAGCCAAACTGAGCAATCCAAGGCGCTCAAGCGCCCAACAGCACGCTCAAGCGCCCACGAAGACAGGAGTTCACTATCGAGGAGCACGCTCGAGCGTCCAGATGGACAATCGATCGCGTGAAGGTAGGCAGAAACAACAATTGAAGGCACAACAGCACACTTAAGCGGCCATAAGCACACTTGAGTGTCCATAAACATGTTTGAGCGCCCAACCACGCATCAGACAACAAAGATTTAATAAGATTTGATGAGATTTTCCAATGGATACCGGATTGTGATACCCGAAATTAAAGCGAAAACATATCGACTTTGATTTATATAGATCCATGGAAGATTTGAGCAGGATTACAATAGGATTCAAAGTTTAAATCTGTCATCAATCTACAAGATCGAAAATAAGAAAAGAAAGCAATTATAGAATTGATTGCAAATCTGATAAGGATACGGTGGGAGATGCAATGGAGGTTGTGGCCTTGAAGATTATAAATAGGGAGCTAAGGGTCAGACCAAGACACCAATTCACCAATCCAGAGAGTTACACAGAGACCTGAAGGAGGAATCCTATTGCAGAGCGTGGGAGCATTGAGGAACCAAGTCAACATCACACCAATGGAGGCTTGGGGTTCTCTTTTCTTTACCATTGTTTTTTAATTCAGTATGCTAGGCTAGACTCTTCTGTAGTTAGGGGTAGATGAAACCTAATTGAATCTTTATGTTTATGAATTAAATTATCTCCAAATTCTTTTCTTTTTATAATTGAATAAATTTATCTGTCTTTAATGCTTTCTATGAGTTTGCTCCTTATAGAATGATTTCGGGGAATTGTATGACAATATGGATGTTGGTGCATGAATCATGACTTGATAAATTTATCATAATCCTTGTGATCTAGGGATAAACATAGAGTAATTGTGCAATCATGGAATTCTTGATCTTAATGCATGTTTTCTTGGGGAATAACCGGGGAACTAGGGTTCTTGTGAGATCACATAGATTTAGGGTAACAAGGAATTGAGCCCTAATTAACTTTGAAAGAATTGATTGGCAATATATTAAGAACAGGTTCTTGACAGTTTAATTCATAACATATTGAAGAGATTGGGGGAAGTCGAAACCCTAACTACGCTTGTTTTCCATTCTTAACCAATCATCATCTTTTCACTTGTTCTTTTTAATTCTGAATTTTCTTAATTGAATGCTATTACTTGCTTTTAATTTTAATTTCTTCAGTTACAAATTCTCTCAAATCCAATTCTTGATTGACCAACTAAAACGCGATTAGCGAACTAGTGCTTGAAAATCCGATCCTCGTGGGAACGATCTCGTACTTCGGTACACTTTATTACTTTACGACCGGTGCACTTGTCGAGTCGTAACAAGTTTTTGGCGCCATTTCCGGGGATTGGATCCTTCAACATTAGAGATAACTAATTATCTTTTAGATTGGACATTTTAATTTTCTGCACTTTGAACATTCTTCAAAAACATTTTCTGCATTAAAATTCTGCTTCAATTTTCTGCATATTTTAATTTTCTTCATTCTTTGTTTAGTTTTATTTTTCTGTTTTGCATTTTCTATTTTTTCTGCACATCTTTTCAATCTTAGTTTATGCGAGGTACTCTTAACCAACGAATCTTGCAGTTTGATCCTAAGATAGAAAAGACGGAAAAAAGACTTAGGAAAGGCGCAAAAGAAAGAAAAGCAAAAGAAGCAAAAGAAACCTCAAGTTCAATGGAACCAAAGGAGGAAACAATGGCTGACAGCAATGCAGTACAGAACCCTCCAAGGACGTTGGGAGATTACATGACCCCAGCTCGAGTTCCTCAGACAACGAGCATTGTTAGACTAACCGTGGATGCTAACAACTTCGAGCTCAAGCCAGCACTGTTCCAACTAATTCAAAAAGATCAGTTCGCTGGAAGAAGCACGAAAGATCCCTATGTTCATCTTGATAATTTTCTGCTCTACTGCGATACATTAAAGATGAATGGAGTCTCGCGTGACGCCATCTTGCTCAGACTATTTCCATGCTCACTGAAGGATGATGCAAGAGCTTGGCTTCCATCACTGCCTGAAGGAAGCATCACCCATTGGGATGACTTAGTAATGAAGTTCTTGGCTAGATTCTTCTTAGCTTCAAAAATGGCAAGATTCAAATTAGAGATCACGGATTTTGAACAAAAAGAAAGTGAATCTTTATACGAGGCATGGGAAAGGTTTAAAGGACTACTCCGAAAGTGTCCTCAACATGGCATTGAAGCATGGGAGAGAGGAAGAATTTTCTTCCAAGGAATGACGCCAAGTACAAGAACACTGGTGAATGCTGCAGCAGGAGGATCGTTGAAAACAAAAACTCCAGAGGAAGCATTGGACTTGTTGGAATCTTTAGCTTCTCAGGAGTATGACAATGCTCCAGTCACACAAAGGAGAGCGGGAATCATGAAGCTTGACGGCTATGATGCAATCTTGGCTCAAAATGAACAAATACTGCAAATTAATAAGAAACAACAAGAACAATTAGATGCTCTTACAAAGCAATTTAATCTTTCTCAAATTTCTTCTGTTAATAATTCTCAAGTTAAATGTAGTATTTGTGCAGATGCTCATGCAACTGAAGACTGCGACTACATGAGAACAACTGAAAAGCCACCAGCAGAAGTCAACGGTATCTTGTAAGATCAAAAGAACCAGAACAACTCAGGGAGGAACCAATATGGAAATAACTATAATCAAGGGTGGAAAAATCCTAATCAACACCCTGAGTTTAGTTACAAATCAACCCATCAGCTAAATCCTCCTCTGCCACTGCAACAACAACCCCCACCACAAGAAAACACTTCAGAGTGGGAGAAAGCTTTTGCACAGCTGTCCAAGACCACATCAGACTACATTCAGAATGCAGATGCCTTCAGAGATGAAACAAGAGCTTCATTCCGGAATCAAGAAGCTTCTATCTGGAACCTGGAAACTCAGATTGGCCAGCTATTAAAACAATTTACTGAAAGTACCCATGGCACCTTCCCAAGTAACACAAATACAAACCCAAATGCACAATGTAATTCAATTGTTACCAGAAGTGGGATCGTGATCCAACCAGTGGAAAAACCGCCAACAAAGAAAAAGAAAGAAGCTGAAAAGGAGAAAGAAGAAGATGCAGGAGAAGCTGAAAAAAGCAGTCCAGATAAGAAGCTGTTCAAATGGGAGAAAAAGAAAGCTCTAGACCGACAACCAAAATCGACAGATCTGTCTCCCTATGCACGAGTCCATACCCTTAGCTGTTAAAACAAGAGATCCAGAAACAACAATACACCAAATTTCTGGATATCTTCAAGAAGCTGCAAGTCAATATTCCATTCGCAGAAGCCCTGTAAAGTATGTCGAACTATGCGAAGTTCATGAAGGACCTTCTGTCAAAGAAGCACAAGTTGAAAGAGTGCGAAACAGTGGCCCTGACTGAGGAATGCAGTGCAATCATCCAGAAAAAACTTCCTCCCAAGCTGAAAGATCCGAGAAGCTTCAGTATTCGTATAGCCATAGGAAATATTGAAGTAGGAAAAGCATTATGTGATCTGGGAGCAAGTATAAATCTGATGCCACTGTCCATGTGCAGAGCTTTGGGAATCAAAGAGCTAAAGTCGACTACGGTTTCTCTTCAGTTAGCTGGCAGATCGATCAGACGACCAGATGGGATAATTAAGGATGTTTTAGTTAAAATTGATAAATTCATCTTCCCTGCAGATTTTGTAATTTTGAATATGGAAGAAGATGCCGAGATTCCCGTATTGCTTGGGAGGCCATTCTTAGCCACTGCAAGAGCAATGATCGATGTGGAGCAAGGAAAACTGATGCTGAGGATGAACGAAGAGACAGTCACCATTGACGTCTTTGAGTCAATGAAGGATCCAACTGATGGAGGACAATGTTTCATGATTGACATAATACAAGAAGCAGTTGATGACACAATGAAAGAGGAGAGTTCACCACTCGAGTTAGAGCAAATCAATGAAGAAGCAGAACTTGCAGAAAAAGAACCAATGATGGAAGAACTAGAAAGAAAGAAAGATGACATCCCTCTTGGAGCACCGAAGGTGGAGCTTAAGGAGTTACCTTCAAATTTGAAATATGCTTTTCTTAGTGACAATAACACTTATCCAGTCATCATTGATGTTGAGCTGTCAACGAAAGAAAAAGAAAAGCTTCTCAAAGTGCTGAAGAAACACAAAGCAGCCATAGGATGGTCCTTCTTCGACCTAAAAGGGATGATTTACCTTATATCCGACAGTGCATGGGTAAGTCCTGTACAAAAGGTACCCAAGAAAGTTGGAGTTACTGTGGTAAGAAATGAGAACAACGAGCTGATTCTCACAAGGATAGTCACTGGGTGGAGGATGTGTGTTGACTATAGAAGACTTAATGTAACCACTCGCAAGGACCACTTTCCCATTTCCTTCTTGGACCAGATGTTGGAGAGACTAGCTGGCCATGCCTTCTACTGCTTCCTGGATGGGTACTCAGGCTACAACCAAATAGCAGTAGCTCCAGAAGATCAAGAGAAGACAACATTCACATGCCCTTACGGAGTCTTTGCTTACCGGAGGATGCCTTTCAGCCTGTGCAACGCTCCAACTACTTTTCAAAGGTGCATGCTTTCTATCTTTTCTGATATGATTGAGAAATCCATTGAGATCTTCATGGATGATTTTTCTGTTTTTGGTCCCTCTTTTGACACTTGCATAGAAAATTTACCATGTGTTTTACAAAGATGTCAAGAGAGTAATCTTATTTTAAATTGAGAAAAATGCCACTTTATGGTAAAAGATGGCATTGTTTTACGACATAAAGTGTCCAAAGATGGTATAGAAGTTGATAGAGCTAAAATATCGGTCATTGAGAAACCTCCCCCTCCCTCAAATGTTAAAGGTATTCGAAGTTTTCTCGGTCATGCAGGTTTTTACAGGCGCTTTATCAAGGACTTTTCCAAGATAGCAAAACCACTATGCAAGCTGTTGGTCAAGGATGAGGAATTCAACTTCACAGATGAATGTTTGGTTGAATTTAATATTTTAAAAGATCAATTGACCACTGCACCTATAATCACTGCACCTGATTTCACTTTACCTTTTGAATTAATGTGTGATGCTAGTGATTATGCCATAAGAGTTGTCTTAGAACAAAGAAAGAATAAATTGTTGCATGTGGTTTATTATGCTAGCAAAATTCTGAATGATGCACAAATGAATTATGCAACCACTGAAAAAGAGCTACTAGCAGTTGTCTATGCTTTTGATAAATTTAGACCGTATTTGCTGGGGTCTAAGGTAATCGTTTACACTGATCATACTGCTTTAAAGTATTTGTTGAATATGCAGGATGCAAAGCCACGATTTCTTAGATGGATGATGCTCCTTCAAGAGTTTGAAGTAGAGATCAGAGACAAGAAAGAAGTGGAGAACTTAGTGGCTGATCACTCTCCAGGATTCAAGAAAAAAATCTTCAAGACGGACCTGAGCTGAAGATCAAAGAGGAGTTCCCTGATGAGTAAATTTTGGCCATCAACATCATCTCGGCCCTGCAATTAGAGGAAGTGAAGAACACGAGTACACCTCCATGGTTTGCGGATTTCGCTAACTTCAAAGCAGCAGGGGAGATTCCAATAGACTTTACATGGCAACAAAGAAAGAATTTTCTACACGATGTCAAGAAATACCTATGGGATGAGCCCTTCCTTTTCTACAGATATGCTGATGGAGTAATAAGGCGGTGCATTCCAGAAGAAGAGATGAAAGACATCCTCTGGCACTGTCATGGTTCCAGCTACGGTGGACATTTTGCGAGAGAAAGAACAGTCGCAAAGGTACTTATGAGTGGGTTTTATTGGCCAACCCTCTACAAGGATGCAAGGAAGTTTGTTGAATCATGTGATAGATGTCAGAGAACGGGGAATATCTCCAGAAGACATGAAATGCCCCTCAACAACATATTAGAGGTTGAAATCTTCGATGTGTGGGGAATAGACTTCCTGGTTGCAGTTGATTACGTCTCCAAGTGGGTAGAAGTTGTTGCTCTACCCACTGATGATGCTCGGGTAGTCATCGCATTCCTAAAAAGAAACATTTTTGTAAGATATGGAGTACCTCGACCAATCATAGGCGACGGAGGGACTCACTTTGACAACAGGCAAGTTGAATATGTGCTGGCTAAATGCGGAGTGAAACACAAGATTGCAACACCATACCATCCGCAAACAAGTGGTCAAGTGGAGATATCCAACCGAAAGCTGAAGCGAATATTGGAGAAGACGGTTGGAAGTTCCAGGAAATACTGGTCCAAGAAGCTTGATGATGCACTGTAGGCATACCGTACTACATTCAAGACGCCAACTGGAATGCCTCATTTCCAATTAATGTTTGGGAAGGCTTGTCAGTTACCAGTGGAATTGGAACATAAAGCTTTATGGGAAATAAAGTACCTCAATTTTGATTCCAAGACCGCAGCTGAGAAAAGACTTCTTCAACTGGATGAGTTCATACTCTCTGCGTACGAAAGTGCGAATCTTTACAAGGAGAAGACGAAGAAGTGGTACGACAAGAAAATTCTACCTCGAGACTTCAAGGTGGGGAATCAAGTATTACTCTTCAACTCTCGCCTCCGTCTCTTTCCTGGGAAGTTAAAGTCCAGGTGGTCAGGACCGTTTATTGTGAAGAACATGAAGCCATACAGAGCAGTAGAGACCAGTCCACTAGATTCTGACAGAAGCTTCACAGTCAATGGCCAATGCCTGAAGTTATACATGGGAGGAGAAATTGACAGGGGAACAGCCCCAATTTCCCTCGTAGAGGTAAAGTGAGTCAGGTACGTCAGGCTCGTGACGTTAAACAAGCGCTATTGAGGAGGCAACCCTAGAATTTATTGTTTTCCAATTTCTTTACTTCAAATAATTGAGAAAATACCAAAAAATTAGATAGTTAGGTTAAGGTGATCACATGTGAGGAATAAATAAAAAATTCTAAGTGGCGAAGAGCACGCTCGAGCGCCCAAGTTGCCGCTCGAGCGCGTCCCAACAGGGAGGATAGGAAATTATTGGCATTTAGCGCGCCTGAGCGTCCAGTTGGCCGCTCACGCGTGCAAAACCTCATCCACAGGGGTGTTCCCCTGCCATCAAGCGCTCAGGCACGCTGAAAGGGAAAGATTACAATACGAGCTTCATGCTCGAGCGCTGAGCAGCACGCTCGAGCGCTCGACAGCGGTTCCAGTTTTTTATTTAAATTCTTCGTTCCCCCCTATTCTTCCCCATTCAGTTGCATTTGTCTCCCACTCATCTTCTCTATATCCTATATCCCCCATTCTCAATACTATGTGGACTTTAGCAAATCAAACCAAGGGTTTTTGAAGACCACAAGGTATGCATCTTCTCTTTAATTAATTTCACATATTATTTGTTTTCAATCCTAGTTTAAATTTCTACCTTCACAATTGCATATTAGGGTTCATAAAATCTTGGAGTGGGGAGATTTATGTTTCGATGCTAAAGGGGTTTAGGGATTGATGTATAAATTCACATCACCACATTCATGTACCAACTTCACATCCTTACTTTCACCAACAAATAGTTGCATCCATCCATAAATTGCAAACAAGCAAATAATGCATATGAACTATTTGTGGTAATGCTCATATGAACCGATTGACAAAAGGTTACAAGAAACTCTATATGGTAGGTAGTCTTGGCATGATAGAAGCATTGCAAGTTTAAAATTTTTGAATTCATGCTACACACTGAATTATATAGATGCTACATGTGTAATCCAAGATAGAGTTCAAAAGGTATTACAAATCAAGTATACCAAGTGTTTGATGAAATGTCACAACCAATATCTGCTCCATAATTGGCAATTGCTTGACTTTTTCATATGATTGTTGACATAACATACACATCCAATTGCTAAATTCCTAAATCCTATGATATCATTATGTGAATGCACAAGTCTAATTACAGTAAATGTGCATAATTATCCTGGTTTTTAATCTTGTTCCATGATGATAATAACGGATTAAATCTGGGAATTCCAAAATGCATAATTATCTTAACTTGCAAATACTTTTCTGGTTTTCAGGATATCAGGAAGAGGAAAGAGACAAAGGGGCACTAAGCAAATCGGTGCCCGTTCTAGTTCCCAACCACCAAGGGAGGAGGTGCAAAAGTTTAAGTCACCCGCCCACGAGCAAAGATACCATGCCCACATCCTGGGGAAGGCAATATGCAAGGAGAGAGTTCTCCATCT